CCACACTGGGTGTGGAGATTACTTAAAAATAAAATCTTTAAAAAAAAATAAAAATAAAAAAATAAGTTGAATCAATAAAGGAGGAAAAAAACTTAAAACTGAAAGCATATCGAAGCAAATAAACCCAACTGTATTTCAAATGAATAAAATAACCACACTGAAAGGTAGGAAAAAGAACTAATCCAAGTAGCTGCTGAACACAGTATTGAGTACATGCTCTCATGGGGGTATGGGGGGAAAGTGGTAGATAATGGGAACAAATCCTTAACTCTTCTTAGTAGGTTGGTTTTTACCAAAGAATACAGCATTCCTAAAATTATTTTAAATGTATTGTAAGATTAAGCAGATAGGATGTGCTTTATGTCAAAAGGCAGGATTCTAACTGTGGAAGGAGCTAAAACATGAAAACAGAGTAGAAAGCAGGAAGAGCCTTGGGGCAACAGTGGAGGTATCAGTGTGGGTACATGATTGTATATCATATACACTGAATGCATATATGTGTGTATTTAATCTTCCTAGCTCTGACACTGAAAGAGCTCAGTGGCAAAGACAGTGGCTCAGAAGCAAAGACACCCTTGTGGCAATAAGCATGCCTAGCACCCAGAGCCCTCTAAAAGAAACCAGAGCTCCTTTGACAGATAGCTATTTTCAGGGTTAAGACAGGGAACGTAAAACAAGTTGAGCCTAGCATATTTTGTTGAAAAAATAATAAAGAGGGGTGCCTGGATGCCCAGTCGGTTAAGCATCTGACTTTGGCTCAGGTCATGATCTCATGATTCGTGGGTTTGAGTCCTCCATCGGGCTCTGTGCTGACAGCTCAGAACCTGGAGCCTGCTTCAGATTCTGTGTCTCCCTCTCTCTCTTTCCATCCCCTATTCATGCTCTCTCTCTCTATCAAAAATAAGCATTAAAAAAATAATAATGAAGTGGTACTCAAAACAATGATGGGAATATGTCAGATGAGCACCCGAGTTTACCAAAAGGGACTCCCAATGACCAAACTGGAAACAACTTAGGCATCAACATAATAAAAGGAAATACTGCATTATAAATCATTAAAAAAAAAAAACCTATCAATGACTTCTTACTGTTAATGTACAGATCAATAAATTGATAAAAAGGGATGGCTCTACTTTACAGGAGAATGCTAGAGTGCCAAAGTTGTATGCAGAAGGACAGCTAGGGCTGGATAATCATCAATTTGTGACTACCACAGTAAAGACTGGTTTGAACAAGAACCAACAATGGATGCTATATACAGTTTAGAAATTTTGATGAGAAGCAGGGTATTTCCATAAGAGGGAAAAATACCTACACAATGGAGAAACTGAACGACATTTTGAGTGAGTGATTAAAACCAGCATCACCAATGAAGGGCAGGCACACAAAGGTGACTGTGAATGTGATACCCTGAGAAGGACACATCATTTACATAGTGTTTTGCCCTGGAGGACATACCCTAAACCTCATCATAAGGAAACATCAGGCAAGCCAATATAAAGAACAGTCTAATACGGAAGGAGGTAAAGAGGCTCTACTCTCCAAAAATGTCAATGTCATAAAAGACAAAGAAAAACTGAGAAACTGTTCTACATCAAGAAAGTAAAGACACATGAAAATAATATATCAATATTAAATTTCCTGAGTTTGGTACCTACACTGTGGTTAGTAAGAGAATGTCCCTGTTCTTAGTGAAAACACACTCAAGTCTTTAAGGAATAGAAGAGCATTATGTGTGCAACTTATATTCAAATGGTTCAGAAAAAAACATGTCTATATAGAAAGAGAACCAATGATAAAGCAAATGATGTAAAATGTTAGTAATTAATGAACATTAGTAAAGGATATGGACATTTTTTGTATATTCTTGCATATTCTCTAAGTTTGTAAGAATTTCAACATAGAAAGTTCAAAAAATAAAACAACACATTCTTACATTTCTCAGTGCTTCATAAATAGCTCTAAATGCCGGTTGTTTATCATCATGGTAAACACCTCTGTTCCCATGAAGAATAAAGATTCCTTCTTCTTCTGCTTCCGGGCAATTGCTTCCATATATACAATGATCTGGTCGATAATTCCATTGACATGGAAAAACAAAAAGGCTTTCTATGTGAAGAAAAATAAAACAATAAAGCAAATAACTCTAATTCCACGAATGAACATTCTGCAAAAATTTTAGTTTAAAAATACTGCTCTTACAGCAAATTTAAAATAGTGCAAAATACGCTTGGCATTTAGATCCCTTCCTACGAAAACAACATGAAGAAAAGTTTAAAAATAAACGTTTTACCCTGTCTTAAACATAATTAGTGATATTCACTAATATAAGCCAAAGTCAAATAAATGCATTTCTTCATTTTTGACTACATATTACCTGATTTTTTACAAATGCAAAGAATAAAAGAAATTTAAATGATTACCTGGATTATGAAAAAAGATGATATTCAACAGATCTTGATCCCCCCATGTGATATTCAATTTGTATTTTTTAAGCAGTGGCATAAGTATATCTCCCCATCGCAGCCGTACAGCTGTCATGTCATTCTGTGGGGAAATACATCAAGAAATGCTCAGGCTTCCATGTTTCAAACGGCAGCACAAGGACAGTTCCCCATTCTTCCCTTAGCATTACAGAGCAGCAAGGAGAAATGCAAACTTCTTTTCTTATAAAACCAAGTGACTCAAATGTAAACCTAAATGTGAGTAGGGCTGTCCATTTGGGAGCAGGGAAGATAAGACATCTGAAGCTGCATGTAGAAGTGACAAAACTAATAAAAGTCAGGAAAGAATAGGAAAGAGAAAGTAGGTGACAGTGTAAAGTACTATGACTATGACCTTATCTTAAAATGCAGATAGTTTTAGTACTTGTATCATATGTCTAGATATCACCTATGTCTATGTCACAGAGCTTTTTGGGGTTCAACCTGTTAATGTATAAGGTACTTGGAACTTTTTATCTAATGTATAAATAAAAAGTACCTGGCACATAGTACATACTTAATGTTAGCTATTACTGTTACCGTGATCACTATCATTCTTAGACTGATCTGCTAATTTTTTATAATTGACATTTCAAAGAAATCCACTTGAAACTGATAAATCAAAAACAGGTAGTGAATTTTATCATTTGCCTTTTCAGTCTCTGTAAAGTTGCTCATAAGCTCATTATTTTAAAGCAGAAAGTCAAATACCCAAGGAAACAAAAGAGTTCAAAGAGGGCTCTGGATCTTGTGAATGTGGGTGACAAGTGGTGGAGGGGAATACTAAGCCTTTTCAACTCATTTCCTTCTTTTAAACTCTCCAGACTTAAACCAGTATTCCTCAAAGTGCAATTTACAGTGTGCAGAACAGTGAATTTTTGATGTCCTTCACAATATTAAGTACAGAAATTAAGAGTAACATTTAGAAACATTTATAGCAATTCAAGAGAATAATTTTATATTTAATCTGTTTCTAGTCACACACACAAAAATGTAAAAAACATTTTTCTAGTAACTTATATACATCATTTTTACAAACATATTGGCTCATGAAAAACTAAATTTAAAATACAAAATTGATCCTCCATACACAGTTTGAATTGGCATTGTTATAAGCTATTCTAGGATATATAATAAACACAATGGGAGTGTAACAATCTATTCCTTAAGAAAGAGAAAGAAAAGCCAGAGTTTCTGGGGGGAAAAGCTACATATTTAAACTAAATATTATCTGCTATAGTCATATTACCCTCGTGCCAAGTCTCTCAACACAGTAAACACAGTAATTATAAAATAATCAGGAATTCCCCAAAACAATGACTGAAAGAAGTTTTATTAAGGAAATAATAAGAAAATACTTTGTTGAAAGGAGGACTCTGAAGTAAGTCATTTAGCATGTTAACTAAATGTTCTTAGGGTAAGAAAAGGGAAATCTGAATTATAAAAGGACAATGACTAGCAACACATTCAACACACAGGGCTGGTGAACCCCTTGTACCATGCCATTTTCAAATCTTCATTGGATTCTGTGCATTCAAATACATAAATATAAATATATAAAGAAATACACCTATTCAGGGGCACCTGGGTGGCTCAGTCAGTTGAGAATCTGACTTCGGCTCAGGTCATGATCTCAGGGTTCATGAGTTTGAGCCCTGCATTGGGCTCTGTGCTGACAGCTCAGAGTCTGGAGCCTGCTTTGGATTCTGTCTCTCTCTCTCTGCCCCTCCCCCACTCGCACTGTCTCTCTCTGCCTCTCTCTCTGAAAAATAAATTTTACAAATATTTTTTAAGCAAAGAAATATGCCTATTCAAAGAAAAAAAATCAATGAAAGATAAAATTACAAGGTCTAGTGAAGTCTTCAGAAAAAAAGGAAAATAACTTTAAGGAAAAGTTCTACTATAAAAATATTTGATAAAAATATATAAAAACCATGTTAAAAATAACACTATTATATGCTAATTATATAACCTAGAATATCCAAAACAACTAATGAAAAACTATACAAAATTAGTTTAGAAAAGAGGAATTACATATAAAAGAAGTTCAAGTTAATAGAAACTGTTTTAAAAATAGAGAAATGGTCAAGGGGTATGGACAAAGAGCCATTCCCAAAGGAGGAAACAGAAATGGCGAAAAATTAAATGAACACGTAATTTTCCACACTGGTAGTATAGTTGACTAGGAAAGTGTAAGTTAAAATAGGAAGTACTTTTCAGTCATATAACTACATGCTCATACTAGTACACAAAAAAATAAAACCAAATCATCCATTCTCTGCAATCTCAAACACACATGTACTGATATAAAAATCAGTTATATATTTATTGAGTGAAAAAGGCAAACTGAAGATATATAAGAGGAATTTATTTTATTTAGCTTATTTATTTATTTTGAGAGAGAGAGAATATGAGAGAGCAGGGCAGGGGCAGAGAGAGAGAGAGAAGGACACAGAATTCCAAGCAAGCTCCAAGTTGTCAGCGCACAGCTTGATGTGGGGCTCTATCCCACGAACCATGAGATCATGACCTGAACCAATATCAAGAGTTGGATGCTTAACAGACTTGAGCCACCTACGTGCCCCTATAAGAGGATTTTATAGGTAAGTGCTCATGTACATGTTTATCTGTTTCAAAACACATTTTTAATGGGTCTGAAAAATACAAAACAAAGTTTATGACGTCATTTGGGCAAAGAAATGAAACTGGGAATAGAGGTATGTAAAGGGTGGGACTTTTCTTTTTATTCTACATACAATTAAATAAAATTAAAAACATAAATTTTTTAGGGGACCTGGGTGGCTCAGTCAGTTGTGTCCAACTTCGGCTCAGGTCATGATCTCGCAGTTCATGAGTTCAAGCCTCGTGTCGGGCTCTGTGCTGACAGCTCAGAGCCTGGAGCCTATTTCAGATTCTGTGTTTCCCCCTCTCTCTGTCCCTCCCCTACTTGTGCTTTCTCTCTCTCTCTCTAATAATAAACATTAAAAAAAATTTTTTTTTAATTTTTTTTTTTTTCAACGTTTATTTTTATTTTTGGGACAGAGAGAGACAGAGCATGAACGGGGGAGGGGCAGAGAGAGGGAGACACAGAATCGGAAACAGGCTCCAGGCTCTGAGCCATCAGCCCAGAGCCTGACGCCGGGCTCGAACTCACAGACTGCGAGATCGTGACCTGGCTGAAGTCGGACGCTTAACCGACTGCGCCACCCAGGCGCCCCAAAAAAAAAAAAATTTTTTTTAAAGAGGCCTTATTTATATTCTTTGTTTTTTCCCAATAGAAAAAGGTTAAGAAGCATCCTAACAGGGATTCAAGACTGCAAATATAATCATAACAAAATACAAAGCAACAGCTTAACCATGACTGTATCATTGTATACCATGCATAATGAGTAGAAGAATACCATGCAACAAAAAAGTAGAAGTTTTATTTGAATTTTTAATACATAACTATAATGCATCAGGTTGGAAATGAACAGTCATGAATTGTAGGAACTGTGTGACAGCAAAGCAAATTAAGAATTTAAAGTATGGTCATTATCTTAAATGGGTAGTCTTACAGCTTTTCATCCAATAAGAACCATAGGGCAACATTCACAGATGTGTACAAAACAGTTTAGAAAGTTACTACAAGTAATCAGTTATATCACTAGAGCCAGAAACTGTAGAATCAGTAGGAAAAAACAAGGCAATGTTTGCTACAGATATAGTCTGGAAAACAATCAGGAAAAACAAAGACATATGAAAAAAGGAATCAAAAATTAATAAATTTTATAGAAACCTCTCACCAATCATAAATATAGTAACATCTGAAAACAAAGCAAATCTCCATTGTTCCCACAGGGCAAGAACAGGTTTGGAAAACAAGGACAGTAGATGTGAAGTAAATTGCACCTGCTGAATTAATGTATAATCATGCCTCTCATAGCCTTCTTTAGTAAGTCTATAATGCACAGATGAAAACACAAGTTGAAAATGATTTCAATTCCCATATCTACATCTCTAGTTGGTTTTAGAACATGCCACGACAAAAAGGAGAGAAACTGCTAAAGTATTTAAGAGTGACATTTAAGTAAGTAAAAGATAATCATAGATTTGAACTAGATAGTTGTAACTTTGAAACGTTTGAGACAATAAATAATGGTGTTATACTAAATTATCTACGGTTCTTTCCAACAGTAAACTTCTCATAATTCTATGAATTTTGAATGAAGAGTTACTGAGAAGTCATATTATTCCTTAGCAGGTAATCTTACAGCACCATCTTCTGGTATAATATTACTGTGCATAGGCTAACAATCCAAAAAGGAAGACCTCATGGTATTATGCCTGTTTTATTTAGTAAAACCTATGGTTCATGAGATTTTAAAACTCAAGCTATATTAACAAATTGGGTAATTGAAGAAATGTTCACTGTTAAGCAAGAGCATAGGTTACACTAGCCTCATTAATGCATTCAATTGTAGGAGACAAAACTGAAAAGAATCAAGATTTCAGAAAGGTTCAGAAAACAGGGAAGCTAAAAACCAAACCAAACCAAAACAAAACAAATAAAACCAGGTTTACTACATCTACAGAAAATAAGGATGATGGGTACAAATGGTCCTAAGACTCAAATGTCAAGGCATGGGCGATGCTGCAAGCAGCAATGTTGCCTGTGTCAAAGATAAATCGAGGAAACAACTCTAAATGGGGCCAAGATTTAAATGAGACACACAAATGCAGTAATAAATAATGGTATTAATTCCAGTTCACCAGGAGGCATAAGAAAAATATCTGACAAATATACACACATATATCCTCATATCATAAAAGACATAATAGACTTTAATGTTTAACATAGCCCTAACTAGATATAAAGGGATAAACAGTAAGTCTATATGGGTGTTTCAGAAGTCACTGCTTGTAGCTAACATTTAGGTGCTTACTATGTGCCATGCTCTGCACTAAGCATTTTCTTTTTATTTTTTATTTTAATGTATAATTAACATACAATGTTAGGTTCGTTTCAGGTATATACAACATAGTGACTCAACAATTCTATACATTACTCAGAGCTCATCATAATACGTGTACTCTTTTAATCACCATCACCTATTTCATCCATCCGTCCACCTTCCTCCCCTTTGGTAACTATCAGTTTGTTCTCTATAGTCAAGAGTCTATTTCTTGGTTTTTCTCTCTCTTTTTTTGTTCATTTGTTTTGTTTCTTAAATTCCATGAGAGATCATATGGTGTTTGTCTTTCTCTGACTGATTTCATTCAGCACTAAACTCTCTAGATCCACCCATGTTGCTGCAAATGGCAAGCTTCCATTCCTTTTTGTGACTAACATTCCATTGTATGTATATACCACCTCTTCTTTATCCATTTATTGATCGATGGGACACTTGGGTTGCTTGCTTCCATAATTTTATGGCTATTCTAAATAATGCTGTATAAACATAGGGATGCGTATATCTTTTTGAATTAGTGTTTTTTCATTCTTCGGGAAAATACCCAGTAGTGGCATTACTGGATCATATGGCATTTTTATTTTAAATTTTTTGAGGAACCTCCATACTGATTTCTGTAGTGGCTGTACCAGTTTGCATTCCTACCAACAGTGGCCAAGGGTTCCTTTTCTCCAGATCCTTGCCAACATCTGCTGTTTCTTGTGTTTTTTATTGTAGCCATTCTGACAGGTTTTGAGGTGGTATTTCATTGTAGTTTTGATATGCATTTCCCTATTAATGAAGGATGTTGAGTATCCATTCATGTCTGTTGGCCATCTGGATGTCTTCTTTGGAGAAATGTCTGTTCTTCTCTTCTGCCCATTTTTTAACTGGATTATTTATTTTTTGGGTGTTGAATTATAGAAGTTCTTTATATATTTTACATACTAACCCTTTATCAGATTGGTCACTTGCAAATATGTTCTCCCATTCAGTAGGTTGTCTTTTGTTTTGTTGATGGTTTCCTTTGCTATGCAGGTTTTTATTCTGATGTAGTACCAATAATTTACTTTTGCTTTTGTCTCCCTTGCCTCAGGAGACATATCTAGAAAAATGTTGCTACAGCTGATGTTAGAGAAATCACTGCCTATGCTCTCTTCTAGGATTTTTATGACTTCAGGTCTCACATTTAGGTCTTTAATCCTTTTTTAGTTTATTTTGTGTATGGTGTGAGAAAGTAGTCCAGTTTCATTCTTTTGCATGTAGTTGTCCAGTCTTCCCAACACCATTTGTTGAAGAGATGCACTAAGCATTTTAAATGGATCTCCTTTAAACTGACAACCTACACAAGTCCAATTATTATCTACTTTTCAGTTGAGAGAATTAACATTTGAAAATTAACCGGCTAATGGTTAAACAAGTGCACAGGTGGCAAAGTTAAATATAAAGAGTTTGACTCCAGAGCCCACAAATTACAATGACATAAAACTCATCAACATAAAATTGGTAAATACAACATACTCATGTATTCACAATGCACAGAGAAACTAAATAGCCTGATTCTTCCACTGACCCACAGTCTGAGAGGTAACAAACATGCAAGAATTTTTTTTAAAGTTAACTTCCAATAGCTCCCAAATAGCTCACGTTTACTATGTGTTAGCCACCATTCTAACTCAATCCTTACAAAACCCTATGATATAGGTAATGTTATCTGCCATCTTCATTTCACAGACGAGAAAACTAAAGCCCAGAGACATTAAAAATTTACTCAAGGTCCCAGAGGTTTGAACCAAGCAAACAGCTACAGAGTCTTAAGCTCTTAACCACATCTCTGTGTTCCCCCAAGATGTTCTACAGCTGCGCAATTATGAAATGACAACTACTACCTGGAATAACAATCCAGGAAGATGAAATTCACTACTTAGTGTAATGTTATTTTACTTCATCGTAATGACATCTGGCTTGATCTACCACAATCCTCCAACAGACAGAATAGTATGAACTCTCTTCTTCGATTATTCTAAATAAATGGAAAATTTCTGAATAGTTTAATCTACTTTTTAATAAAACAAAATTAAATTGGAAACCAAAAAATGTGTGGGGGGAAAACAAAGAAATTTCAACCAAGCACCTGTATCAGTGACTTACCTTGAAATACTTCCTTCTCATTCTAGTCATATTCATCAACATAACTCCAGAGTTTACTCCAGTTTTTCCATAGTATGGGTGTCTGGCAAAGCGATTATACCATCCTATTCGAGGCTCTTCATGTTCTGGTGCCATTGCAGCAATTTGTGTGGAATTAAATTTCTTTAGTAAAGACCAAATATCATCAACTGGCCGTAAAAAAAGGATATCCGTGTCCACATACAAGAGTGAATCAACTTCTTTCAGGATTAACTATAAGAAGAGAATATGAAACAATAATTATATTTCTATTTATTTACTATAAAATAAGAGAAGCTTTAACAGTAAAAAAAATACCTATGAGATAAACTAATTTACATTAATTTTTAAGACATTTTTCCTGTGTCATTTTTACAATAGCATATATATATATATGCACTGTGCTAATCTTTGTATTAACTTTTAGAGAAAAAAAGCTACAAAAACAAATCAGAACAAAAAAATAAATACTATACTAACAATTGGAAAAATAAAGATTTGGGAGGAAATTCTTTTCATGATGGAAAATAACATTAACTTAGCTGACTTACATCTTGAATCTTAATTTCCTGAGATAAATACAGAAATAAATCAATACAAACAAAGATCTTCTCAACATGTTCTCTCGGTCTATAACACTAATGGCTGGTATGTATATATCATTTTGGTCTCAACTAGAAAATGATGAACCCAAACCACCTAGTTCTGGAGTCCACACTGTTTTGTTTTTGTGCTTAACTTGTGGTAGGGTCCCCTACCTACCTAAGGAAAGAAAGAAAAAAAAAAAAAAAAAA